CCCTTCTTCAGATTTTCTGAAGAAGGGTCTAGGCCCGAAACGTCAGCCTTCCTGCCCCTCTGATGCTGCTTGGCCTGCTGTGTTCATCCAGCTCTACACCTTGTTATCTCAGATTCTCCAGCATCTGCAGTTCCTACTATCTCTGGGATCTAAGGCACGTGCCTCACCTATTCATGTGAAAATCTGAATGCAGAAAAGCACATATATTGACTCTGTTCTACAAATACACACGAAACTGAAAGAAAATACAGTGTTGAGAGTTTTAATTCACTTGGGAGGGATAAAATTAAATCATTTTTTTTAAAAAATCCCTCAAGATGTCTCTCGTTCTGTCACCCAGTTTGAAGTCCAATGACTGTCAATATACAAGCAAATATTGTATCCATTCCTCATATAAACAGTCTCTATAAACAATAATGAACGGCCAGTTGTACTGATTTTGGATGATTGTAATCGAGGGAAAATGTTGACCAGAACACTATGGACCAGCTCTCTTCTTTACTTGATGTTAATATATCAGCAATTTCAAAAATCAAAATGGATGCATGGGGGCCCAGTTTAATATTTTGTCAAAATTATGACACCTCTGACAAAGCAGCACTCCATCAGCACAACACTGGTTTAAATGCTTAAGTCTTCAGTGGAAGTTGAATGTAGTTTTAAAGCCATTAAGTTTGTGCCTTTAAGGATACAAACTTACACCATTTTATTTTGGTTGCAGGTATTATCCTGAAGTTAAATATTTGGAAGCAGCCCCCTGATTTAAAATGCTATGATGACCAAATTTATTGGGAGGTAAGGAGGAAACTACCTGTTTTGGACAGAAATGTTAAAAATGTTACTGTGTTCTAAATGAGATTTTACACACAAGTTCAAAAATTAACCAAGAATACATATTAATTTTGTGGCAGCACAATTTTGGATATGAATTTCCAATTATTTGACATTCTTTTACTTGAGGACTACCCATCACCATGTCTTCTCTCCCCTCTTCCAACTCCAGTGGGACTGTCTGTTCTTTCCAGTCTAACAGTTAGACTCCCTGTTGTTCTGCCTTTCTCACATTCCGATCACTTAATCTGCACTATCTACACCGTTTCTCCCCCAGCAACCCCCCTTCACTATTGCATAAATGCTGCCCCCTCCAAACTTCACATGAGCTCTGATGAAGATTCATCTAGACAGGAAACGTTAGCTTGCTCTCTCTCCATGGATGCTGCCTGACCTGCTATGATTTCCAGTACTTTTTGTTTTCAGTTACTACCAGTGTTTTTAACAATATCTTTATCTTTCTATTTCTGTCCTTTTTTTAACCTCATTCAGTGATGCACATTCTGCACCCACAACAGTGGGCAAATTACTTGATCACAGACTCTCAACTACATTGTTCTTTAGCCAGAGTAAGAGATAGAGATCAATATGATTGTCTCTGTCTCCACTTGGAGAATTACCTTGCATCACTTTACATTTCTCGATAGTTGTGCCCCTGAGGTGAGCAATTCATTAGGAAGTAGAAATAAATGAACATCCTCTGGTACAATGTATTAGTGCTCCAAATACGACACTATCATCTATGTTCCTATAAAGAAGTTTCTTGGTCATCCCTGTTGTTATCCTTAATCATGAATTTGAACAAGACCACTTGATTCAGTGGTTCTTCAAATTTTGCCAGGCTGGGCCCCACCAAAGTTGTCTACTATTTTTACCTAAGTACCCTAACTGATCTTAGCAAAAATAGAGAGGATGAAATTCATCTTAAGCAGCAACAAAACTAGGCAATAATGCATCAACAGTCTATTTTATGCACTTTCCAGTTTTTTTTTCCCCATTGACTTTAATATACCTCCTGTTAAAATTTCTGTCCTCCTTCACATAAACAAGGAGGAGGAGTAATCCGATCAGCCCCTTGAGCCTGGTCTGCCATTTAATAAGTTCAAAGATTTGTCTGATTGTAACCTCAAATCTATGTTCTTACCTATCCCAATAATCTCTCACCCCCTTGCTTATCAAGAATTGATACACCACTGCCTTAAAAATATATAAATATTCCCTTCCATTGCCTTTTCTGGAAGAGAGTTCAAAAAATTTATGAACTTTTGTGAGAAAAAAAAGTTTGCCTCATTTCATTTTTAAATGGGCAACCCCTTTCTTTTAAACAGTGTCCCCTAGTAAAAGATTCCCATGAGAAGAATCATCCTCTTCACAATCATCCTGTTAATACCTCTCATTATCTTACATGTTTCAGTCAAATCACCACTTCTTCTTCCAAACTCCAGTGAATACACACTAGTCTGTCTAATCTTCCCTCATAAGACCACCTGACCATTCCAGATGTTAGTCCTGTAAACGTTCTCTAAACTGCCTCCAACATACTTAGATCATTCCTTAAATACAGTGACCAAAAGTGGGCACAGTATTTCTGATATGGTCTCACCAAATAACTTTATTAGTGAAGGATAATCTCCCAACTTTTGTATTTAATTCTGTTCATGAAAAGTGATAACACACCGTTAGCTTTCTAATTACTTGCTGCACCTCCATACTAGCCTTTTGTGGTTCATGCACTAGGACACCCAGATCCCTCTGCATCACAGAACAAAGCAGCTTGTTTGATTAGCTCCACATCCACAAACATTGAGTCCCTCTATTACTGTTGCTCAATATTGGTAGTGTTTGCCATCTATAAGATGCACTGCAGAAATTTATCAGGGCTCCTTAGACAGCACCTCCAAACTCACAGTCACACCATCTAGAAGGATAAGGGTAGCAGACAACATCTGCAAGTTCTCCTCTAAGCCACTCACCACCCTAACCTGGAAATATATTGCTGTTCTTTCAGTGTCACTGGATCAAAATTCTGGAACTCCCTACTTGTACCAAATGTACTGCAACAATTCATGAAGTCAAGTTGCCAGTACCTTCCCAAGGGCCATTAGGAGTTGAGCAATAAATGCCAGCCCAGCCAGCAAAACACACACCTCATGAATGAATTTCAAAAAGTCTATCAGAACCCAAACATTTATGAATCCACTGCTCCAACAATTTAATCAGTAGCACCTTGTTGACCTTTTTAAAAATGTTTACAAAAACTCTTGCTATCTGGTTAGTTTTCTTTCACACTCTAATCTTTCCCTCCTCAATTTTCCGGTTACTATTTGCTCTTTGCTTCCCCTTTCTCATCCTTCAACAATTTCAAAGGCTGAGGCTTTTATGCTCCTGTCCTCTGGGTCTCCTTGTCTGCCTCCACATTTTATCTTTCAATTTTTCCTTTTCTGTCCTCCATTTACCTCTCTTGTGACTATTTCTGTCCAAGGAGTGGACCATGCTGGAAAATAGGTGAACTGTCTCATTCTAGGCATAGCAGCAACAGAACAGAGCTGTCCCGTTGAGCTGTAGGCTATTTGCACATATGGTGTTTATGCCTGCAGATTCACATCATAGAGTCATCAAGTGGTAAAAGGTATTATTAAACTATTCTGTAAATCATTTGAAAGATTAGAGTTGATCATAATTGATGGTCACCAGGGTTTTCCTTAGTGAACCTTCTGGTGTGATTATTCTTTTTTCCTCCCTGAATTGGTGAGAAGTGGGTGAGTTTCTTTCTAGGGCCTGCTAGCCCAATTATTTCCCCTTTTCACATCTCACTAATTAAGTCTTGGGCAAAAAGGTCCCTGTGTGACCTTCTAGAAATACCAACATGTAAGACCCAGCCATTGCCCCAACTTGCCACCTCTCCACCATCAGCCTCCCCAAGCAGGCAAAAAAGGTGACTGAGAAACTACGGCGACCTGCCAGCCAGTGTCGAGGGTGTGGTCTCCAATCCCTCTAGTCTGAGTTCAGTTGGATGAATGGATGGGTGATCTTAGAAGGCCATTTCGTTTCCTTATCTTAGACCCTCTTGACACTCCCTCTCCGCATGAACATCCTCTCCTGTGAGAAGTATATAAGAATATTTACTTATTGCTGCTGGATCCTTCGAAGTGTTGACCTCTACTGGCAGACTTTAAGACCCGTAAGCTTCTGGCCACCTGGAGCACCAGTGTTGAGGCTTGTAATCTTCCAAGACACCTGTCCATGCTCGCTTCTTAAACAGCTGCTTGCCAGGCAATTGAAGAACTTTCTTGGTGGTTGTGGTGACATCTTCTTCACCACTTAATGCATTCACCCCCCGTGGATCAAAAAGAAAGGGAAAATTCCATCCTGTGCCTTTTAAATAATTGCCCCGACCTTAAACTGAACTGTTGCATGCTTTATCATTTGAAATAAAAATGCCACTGTCTTCAGTACTTCTAAATCAGGTCTGGTTTATCTTCACAAGCTAAAACATTTCTTTCTACAATATTATAGATTAAGGTGTATGCAATTTTAAATGACACATAAACCATCAGCTGCTCTAAAGAATAAATGTCTGCTGTAAACTGAACTTTAAATAGTTGACAATGGAGCTGATTCATTTTCCTTTTTTATATAGTTTCCACACTTAGCAACTATGATCTGAAAACATTCACCAGCACTGTGTCTATATGGAAACAATAAGACTACCGACTACAGATGTTGATTAATTTCCAAAGGTTTGAAGTAATTTCACAAGAAATGTACAAAAGAACAAAGGTCTCTTGAATTTTAGCAAGCGATAATGTATGATTGTGTCTGCTGGTACCACTGCCCAAATGTAATATAAAACACATCTATGCATGTTGAAAACACATGTAAAACAAATGGACTGTGTAAGCATTTGTCAAAATGCAAGAGCTTTATATATTGTTTTGTTTTTTCTGTTTTTGATTAAGTATTGTACTGAATATGTGAAAACTTGCATTTCTTGATCATGTGTAAACTTATAAGCTAGCATTAAAAAATGTTGAAGAAACATTGACATAGTAACTATTTAGAAAAGGTGAAACTTCCTTCATGGAGTATTTAACAAATTCATTGCACTCTGACTCATCCAGACCAGGAAGATTCCATACTCAGGATTCCATGGTCTGTGCTGAGTTAGATAATGTCAACTAAGCCAACAATATGCTTTTGCAATTACTTCTGTATCCCTTGGAAAAGAACAGGAAAAATCAGCTTGCGTTATTATTTCCATCTAGGATTTTTGGTGGAAAAATATCTGTGAATAAAACAAATCAAATAATCAGCCAACAGCAACAGTCTGGGTTCAGTTTTTTTTAAAAAACACGGTCATTTGGAATGTTAATTTTATAATGTGAGTTAACCTCACCCACCCGGAGTAGAAAGTATAAATTTTACGAATCTATCCAACACTGGCTTTGTAGACCAACAGTATGAGATATTTGGGAACGAAGAACAACATACCATGTTTTACAATTAATTTTTTAATTTTTTCCATGCCTGAAAAGACAAATTTGAAACCATCCAAAATGGTTGGTGGATGTGTTCTGTTGTGCGCAAAGATCCATGCCAACAGCACAAATACATAAAATGCACTTTTACACTTTTACAAATACAAAACCATCATTGAAAATGGACATCAGTTTACTTTCCAGGTTTCTTTGAAATAAAATTTGTAAAATTGAGAATTTTACAGGTGTTGTAAGTACAATCAGAAATGCAATAAGATTCAATTATTTCAATTCACAAGCCTACCTCATCCATATATCCACTTAATATTGAACCCAACATCACAACTCCACAACCTTTTAGATATTAGGTAGATATACAGAGAACAGCAGTGTCATTCTTATGCAGTGAAACACATTTTCCTGATTTTGATTCTTATCTGTAACGCAAGTCATTTGAAGAAAGAAATGGCCTGCTTATGTGCTACAAATGTTTTTAATCACATTGTAGAATATTTCTGTAGTATTGTACCAATTGTCAAACCAACTGCAGCGGTTACCCTTTCTGTAGATATAGTGATGATCCAATGTGTGATTTATTTCTGTCAGCCAAAAATTTTACATGGAAAATTAAATGCGGTGGTGATATGTTGCAGTCAGTCAGTCAAAGTTGCTGTGACAACATACACTTTTAGTTTTTTTTTAAATTGCATAATAGATTTGTTTTATTACGATCATGTAGAATATGCAAACACAGATGCTGAGAACTTATGACCCTTTGTTGGACATGCTAGAACATAGGGCCACCATATTAGCCTAAATTGTGTATTGTCAAAGGTAGAGAGAAATTACACTTCTTACAAGATTGTCAATCTTTAGAATTTGCTACCACATATACTCAATGGCTGATCGTTATACTCTATTTAAAATAGAGATGGATTGATTTTTGGGAAATTGGAGAACTTTGAAATAACAGAAGTGTGGGAAAGTGGAGTTGAGGTAGAATATCTGCTATTAAATGGCTGAGCAGGTTTGGAAGTTCAAAAGCCTTATTGCAGCATCTATTTTAAATGCTCTTACGTGTGCTCCTTCACAACTCCTCAATATGCCATTAATGATCCATGCTGACTTATAAATTTTAAAATACTCAGCAGTGCAGTGGTGCCATTTCAGATTTAGATTTTTATTGTCACCTGTACTCAAGTACAGAAGTACAGCGAAAAGCACACACGTGGCACCATCTTAAGTACAAAAGTAGCTAAGTACAAAAAAAGACTTAGTTAAAAAGGACAAGCATTATTTTTCTGAGATAACAAGATGTGGAGCTGGATGAACACAGCAGGCCAAGCAGCATCAGAGGAGCAGGAAGGCTGACATTTCGGGCTGAAGGAGGGTCTAGGCCTGAAACGTCAGCCTTCCTGCTCTTCTGAAGCTGCTTGGCCTGCTGCGTTCATCCAGTTCTACACCTTGTTATCTCAGATTCTCCAGCATCTCCAGTTCCTACTATCTCTGAAACAGCATTATTTTTCTACTTATTCTACGAAGGTGAAGAAATAAGGTCATAGTTAACATTTACCAGACTATGGAGTTTAGCAGAAAAGGGATGTTCAGTTTCAGGCTTCTATTGGCAGGCTTGCCATCTTGAAACCACGAAACAAATTTACTTAATCAGTCCCCTAATTAAGGTACTGGTTTGAGTTAGATGTCATTGTTCCCCATTTAAATTTCCAGGAAAGAGAAGGCAATATATATGGCAATTTGTAGCTTGGCATTTTTTTTTGTTACAAGATGAGCTTGTTTCTCAGCAAAATATTTCGATGTATTGTTAGGATTGATCATCTCCGAGTTGGCCCTCATAGTATAGTATAGAACACTAACATTTCTACAAAATGCTTGGTCCCGTTATACAAAATGAATATTCTTCAATTTGGTACAGATTACTCATCCAAAACAGTTTCAGTGATATGAATGCTCTCTCGTACAGGTCATCTCAACAGGTGAGAAATGGTTATATAAGAATCAGGCTAATGTGCTCTTAATTTCAAAGTCTGAGTCATTCTCAAGTCAAATTGAATAATAGCTGCCATATTTTCAATCATTCCCCTCATATAACCAACTGCTACAATGGAATTACTGAGACTGATTTGGCAAACCACCTCTTCCAAACACAAAAGCAAAATACTGAGAACGTGAAATTTTTTGAAAAAAATAATATTCATCATCCAGACTAATTTCCTGGGAAGAGAAAAAGAGGTCTGTGACCTTTCATCAGAACACTTCTGACAAAGTCACACACCTAAAAGGTTTAATTGTGTTTTTTGTTTGACAGCTATTGTCAGCCATGAGCATTTCCTGCATTTTCTGTTTTTGTTCCAAACTGTCCCATAAGTTTTCTCAAACTGAAAAATTCTTCTCTTTGGGGCCATATGGTATTCCAAACAAAGACCGGTGAAAAGCAGTTTCCAAATCTCTACAAACTGGCCTAACTGCCAATTAATCAAAAATAAGTAAGCCCTGAGTAACTTCTGCAATAATATTTTTAGCCTTAAGAGGAGACAGTCTTTATTGTTGACTCAGGCATCTGACTAAAGAAGTGTTAACAATGCAGAGATTTGTAGTCATTCTACTTGTTGATAATTTCATTGCTTATCTTCCAAGGTACAGCATATCAAACACTGGCCTCCAGTATTAGTAGGAACGCAGTAAGTTGTAAGTACTACAATAAATAGATTCAGTTATTGCTCCACCATTTTTGAAATTTTCCTTTATTATGATTTTAATACTTGGTAATTTTGCAATTGTTAGATTGCACATACACTTCGTAATTAAAAAAATGAAGTATTGATTACACAAAATAGCAAGTAATTAAAATACACGATTGAGCTCCATGGTAACTTTAACAAAGAAAAATAAAAGGTCATAAATGATGACTGTGCACTAAAGTCAACTTTGCATTACATGCCTGTGCAAAACTAAGTTATATATCAAATAATTATTATTCAGCATTTTGTAGGAATCCTTTATTTTATTTTCAGGAATGCAACAACTATAGCAGAATATACAAACCATAATTACTAATAAGCTACAACTTAAAGACCATGTGTATGTCTGTACGAGAAGGGTCAACTGATTTGTAGTGGACATGGCTGCCAACATAGCTATTGATACTCAAAATTTCAAATAAACTAACATTCTAAGAATGCCACCACTGATCACTTGAGTTTCCCCATCATCAGTATTAAAATGTGATTAGATACAGTTGATAATTACCTTCATTTTAATCTTAAAACTGTCATTACAATATCCCCCAAATCTGACAATGGTCATCTTTCTTTGAACTACCCAAGTCATTTATTGCTACTTACTTTTCCTGTTCAGACTGAAGTAAGTAATGTGTTTCACCAATTTGGATTTCAGATTGGAAAAAGGACAGCTCAAGAGAGCTAGTCAAGTTAAGAGAGGTACATTCACAAGGAATCTCCAGCTTACAAACCCCAGTATCTTTAATGCAATCTTGCAGTGTTCACCAGCACATCATCATTGTTTTAACAAACAGTGGTTTTAAGTGGTTGAACAATGCAAATCTTATTTTGTAGATAAAGGTACAGCAAATAGCAACTACACAAGGTATCGATCTGGCTCTAAATCCCCAGAACATCTTCAGTTTGTATGTTGCTCTGCATAAGCTCAAGTTAGTTTTACATCCAGGAGCTTCTATATTTAAAACAAATATTGGTTGGGAATTTCCTAGAAACTTCTGCTGCATCTATATTATAAAGCTGTTTCCAGCACAGGAGTTAAGGAAGATATTGTGTGGATAACCTGGTTAATGCCATTCTATTTTGGCAAAACATTCGTGAATTAGATTAAAGTGCTCGTCAAACTCTCCAAAACAATAACACAGGTCTGTCCCCATTTAAAAAAACTGCAAGCACAAATTTCTTGGATTCATGCTAGTTTTAGGACAGTTATACCAAGTAATCTAGACAGAGGTGGGTCTAATATCACCTAATGTAGACTCATTCAGGACTTTCTGTCAAGCAAAATTATTAGCAGTTTGATTTCTGTACTGCAGAATTGATTTTTTTTTTAGGTTTTTTTTGGCATTTTGTTTGAATCAAATTTCCAGGTACAGAGATCAGCAAGTTCTTATTGTTAATATTTGTGAGAATCCCAGTCTACTCATCACATTCCAAATGATACAGTAGCTGCACTGCCTGCTAGATTAGGCATTTTCTGGTTATTAAAGGGGGGGGGGGGGGGGGGGGGGGGGGAATTGCTGAGGTAAGAAGGTAAGGTGGACAAATAACCATGTTATTAGGAGACAGCAGCTACCACCTCCTCACCCCAAAGAAGTGGAAAGAATGGACTTAAAATTTCCAGATTAACAAGAAAGATTATGTAATGGGAGGAGCAATTTAATATCTATGATCAGTGACTGGTAAGTCACATTGAAACTAAGCAGAAATACAACATGGATTTGTGCCAAATAATGAAGAGGCTGGGCATGAGCATTGTTGTTGATGCTCCCACTTCAAAGAAAGCTTTGCCTTTACAATACTTGTAATGATTTGAACTTGGCAGTATGCACTTGGATTGCTGTCCATTCAGCATAGAAAGATTAATGCAGCAATTGCTGTCACTGTTACATTTGCCAGTATGATCAAGCCTTCAAATTATCAGGTCAGAAAATGTTTCCAAATGTCACAATGACCAAAAGATGTTAATTGCTGCTTGTGATTAAAGTCAGCAGTCACATAACATCTTCAGAGCACTCGTTCCTTGTTCTCTGACACAAAATGACTACCAAGAAGTATCTGAATTGTGAATGTTGCAATTGGGCATAGATCATGGGAATATTCTCTAGGACTATGAGAAGAGCAAGTAATACTACAAAGAATGAGGAATACACGGCCAATGATCATAGTAGGGCTTGCCAGAGGACCAGTACCAGCACAGAATGCATGGACAGAAATAATTGAGCATCTTGTGAAACTGTGCCCACTCTTGCATCACACTTCTTCCAAGGTCGATGGAACAGCATGTTTGCTATACCATGTAAAAATTGATTTTCCCAGCAATTATGGAATAGGTACACACTGGAAGATTGACAACAAAATCAGTGACTCAACACATCTTGCTCAGAAAATCCCATCCATCATTTTAAAAAATGTCACAATGTTACACTTTGGCTATAATCCTCCATTTTGAATTCAGCAACTGCTAGGTAACATTTTAATCTGTTCTACATTATTATATACCACTCATCCTGACAATGCCCATAAATAAACAAAAACACAGAAGTCAAATATAAGCGATGAATTCCAAAAGGGAAAAATGGTACAGTGGCAGCATGTAAACTCAACAGCAAAAGTTACACCGAACACAGCAAGATGCAAACGGTGAGAAAATACAAAATATGTAGTCAGTGGACTTCCATGTCCACGTATTTACTGCCAAAGATCTTCTGTACGTCCAAACTTGAAAACCAGACCCCTGTGTGAAAGAGAAATTTCACTTTTAAAACACAGCTTCTAAATTTCAGTCAGTCTCAATTGCTGTACACTTTATTGTATCTTTTTAAAAGTTTTAGAAATAGCTCTCACATGCATTTGGCAGTAATGTAAATTTTATGCTTACCCAAAGAAGATAAATGCATTTTGGAAGAAGACAGCTATACCAGGGTAAACATCTGACTTTTCTAGAAAGAAAACATTTTTTCTTTAAAAAAGTCTGCAATAAATTAAAATATTGAAAAGCAAAATAGCATACATTTATATCAAACCTATAATCTTCAATACTCTCTCAATTTTGACCACAAGACATGTTGTCTACTCAATCTCGTATACTCACTCATTGTCTACATATTCAGTTATATTCCAAATTTCATTTTTAGTAAAAAGTCTACTAAAAATAAAGAATTTGCACTTTCATAGCAATTCTCATAAAATTAGAATGTACTGAAGAACTTTACAGCAAAACACTTAAAATGAAGGGAGGATTTTAATGTCTTCCCAGGTATGTTTGCCGTTAGGGCATTTATTATTTGGTCATGGCATGTGAGCTAAAAGTCATCTATATTGCCATGCGCCTGGAGTCACATACAGGCCAGACTAGGTAAGAATGGCTGTTTCCTTCCCTAAAGGACATTAATGAACCAGATAGGTTTTTACAACATTCCACAATAGTTTTCTGGCCATCATTAAACTCTTAATTCCAGATTAAGAGTGGCATGGATACATGGTGGAATTCAAACACATTAAATCAAGGGAGGCAATCAGGCAGGAGAATGTGGATGGAAACTGTAGTCTTCCTGCCTCCCCTGATGAAGTCTGGAACAGGAAGGCTCACTAACAGCCTTCTCACTTCTAATTGAGGCCTCGCGGACAAATGCTCACTTAAGGGTCTCATGTCCTCCTGCTAGTATTTACCAGGTGGTAGGCAATGGACTCTCAGTGCAGGAAGTCTCTAAAGCAAACGCTGTTGGGAACCAAGATCAGGATTTTATTGTAGAGATGGTGATACAGTAGTAATGTCACTAGATCATTAATTCAAAATTACAGACAAATGGTCTAAGGACATGGTTTTAAATCTCACCATGGCAGCTGGTGGTGAGATTTAAAGATAATTAATACATTTGGAATATATAGCTAGCTTCTGGGATAGTGATTATGGGAGTTATCATTGATTGTTGTAAAAACGCATTTGTTTTTCTAATGCCCTTTAGAGAAGGTTATTGGCTATTCTTACTTGGCCCAGCCTATGCAGCAGGCAGTGAAGGAGGCAAATGATATGTTGGCCTTCATCTCTGCCTTAAAAGTGTGACCACTTATTCTGAGATTAAGCCCTCTGGTCCTAGATTCTTCCACCAGGGCAAACCACCATTCTGTATTTATCCTGTCAAAACCTCTAAAGAATCTTGTACGTTTCCATAAGGTCACCTCTCATTCTTCTATTTTCCAACTAGTATAGGCCTGCTTAACGCAACCTTGCCTCACAAGACAGTATCTTCATAACTAATAGCATTCCAGTGAACATTCTCCGGACTGCTTCCAACACTAATATATCTTTCATTAGATAAAAGACCCAAAACTGTTCACAGTACCTCAGTTGTGGTCTGACTAGTGCCTTGTTTTAGCAAAACATCCCTAATTTTTTACTCCATTTCTTTCGAAATGAAAGTCAGCATTCCATTTGTCTTCCCTATTACTTGCTGAACTCAGACATTGTTTTTGTGATTCATGGATAAGGACTTCGAAATCCCTGTTCTATAGCTTTCTCCAGTCTTTCTCCATTTAAATAATATTCAGCTTCTCATATTTCTGCCGAAGTGTATAACCTCACATCTTCCACATTACATTCCATCTATCACTTTTTTTGTTCACAGACTTAGCAGACTGTCACTCACATCACTTGGCTTCCCACCTATTTTTGTGTCATCTGCAAACTTGAATATTATACATTCATTTCCACATTTGTCATTAATATATACTGTAAATAATTGTAGCACCAGCACCGATTTGTGAGGCACACCATTAACTACAAATTACCAACCTGAAAATACCATCTTTATCCCAGTTCGCTGTCTTCAATTAGTTGGCGCATCCTCCATCCATGCTAATATACTACCTTGAAAACTACGAGCTCTTATCTTATTAAGTAGTCTGTGTTATCAAAACGTCCTCTGAAAATCCCAATATATTCCACCACTGCTTCCCCTTTACCTAACCTGCTTGTTACCTCATCAAAAGAACTCTAGCAGATTTGATATTGTTTTACGTATTCTCTGAATATTCAATGGAAGTTCAATTTTAAAAACTCAACCATTGTTAAATGGCAAACTATATGAACACCAAAAATTCACTAAACATCATTCACAATGATTACATTATTATCAACCTTTTTGTGCTGTTGTTTTCTCTTTAAACTTTAGGAGACATTGACAAAGAAGTGACCCAACAACACAAAAGCTAGTAATAAATTAAAACTAATTACTTGAGTTTCAGCATTTGGGACTACATTTGAATTTCACAAAAGCAGATTACAGAATTACTTGCATTCACTTACGTGGCACAACATAACCACCAAAGAGGATCCACATGGATGCAATGAGAGATCCAAATGCCAACATAAAACCAATGAACAGCCAAATTCGAGCACCTGAGAAAATAATCAATTCTCTTAAGGGAGTACAATATACAAGCACTGATAGAAAACTGTCCACATTTGATCAAAGCATATAGTTGCAACTTCAGGACCTATGCTCAACAGTCTTTCCAAAAGTGTGCTACAAATCCGTGTGCATTAGAGAGAAGATTCTCTATTAACTAACGGCTGTAATCAACGTGAATTACAAAAATATTGATAACAATCTATTGCAATCATGTTAAATTACAATAGCAGTACATCTCTGCAGTGATTAAAGTGAAAGGAAACCACCCGGATTATTTTTAATGATAAGTCATAGATGCAATGAACTTCCCAAACTGGTTAGCAGAATTATGGTTTCTTATTGCTAATGTACAGGATAATTAAATACACAAAAGACATATTATCATCTGGCTGGCCATGAGGTGAGCAGGTCCACAATCATAACCCCATTGGGCAACATAAATCAACAGTGGAAAGTCCGAAGAAAGATGGACAGGGACAACATGACCCTCACTGGCTACAATTGTGGGCAAAGAAAAGTTGGTGCAACAATTCACCAATGTACCAACTTTATATATTTACTTACTATATTTTCTATTTCTAAATGGATTTTGTTAAAGCAGCCATCAAACTAAGAGGATTCAGACTCAACTTGATAACACAGAATTCATAAAATGAGAATAAAAACAAAAAATCAAGAACAGAATTTTACTGGGAACAACCTCAGAGACTGCATAATTCATACCATATTATTGATCAGAACAATAAAGAAATACCTGTTTGGCCCAAACAACCTTCACTATAACCATCACCACGAACTTGTCCATTTGAAACTGCATTTATCCTAACAGAAACAAACAATTTCAAGTAAATCTTCATCGCAGAATGAGAATGAAAACTTATGCTTGTGAAACAAAATGTCCAATTTCCTGCTGATTCAGAGTTACGCAGTTCAGAGACAATGTATAATGCTGCAACATTACACTGCAAGCACAACACATGCTTGATTGATGTGCAATCAGTAAGTTATTAAGTATGTAAGGAAACATGGCCACCTACAGCCCTGTGGAATTAAACCATTCAAAATAATGAATATAGGTCTAAAAACAATGCTAGGAATATATATAGCTGTGGTCAGGCCGCATTACTATTGTGCACAGCTGAGACACCAGAAAGACATTGAAGCTTAGGCATTGATATGAATAGACCCAAGACTATCCTGAAACCCTAAGTTCAGGAAAGATCAGAGAAATTCAGATCTGCAGTCCTGGAACGTAAATAAATAATCTCAATAGTATATTCACATTACAGGCTGATTATTGATGGTTCAGTCTGGAAATTTGTCTGGAACATTATGTAATCTCTCCAGTCCAGAATGCTCAGGACCATCACTTCTGGAATGCTGAATTTTCTGAATTAATTCTGTATAATTCTGAATAATGTGAGAATGTCTAACCACAATTTTAATTCTAAGTAATTAGCCAGCTGTCTTCCTCTGTTATTCATTTCATCTCTCTCTTTCACAGTCTTCCCTCTGGAAGAATCCAAGGATGTCACCCTCATTTTCAGCAATTATTATTTATTCCCTTTTACAATGTTCTAATGTAGCAGTAGTATTGTACACAGTAGAATCAAAACCATGATAATAAAAACAAAGGCCAGCATGTTCATCATTTTCTGATTTGTTACAGAGTGGTGAGTGGTGGGTCTGCAAGTTGTGTGAGCCTTCTCTAAAGAATTCCCAAAAGCTATTGTTTCTGATTTCAGATTTTCAGACTGGACAGGTTACAGTGTATTGATTAGAATTATGCATTCAATCTTGAGGACAAAGCAACACCTGTCAATAGAAGTAATCAACAGT